GTTCTGGGGGAAAAAGAAAAAAAAAAAAAAAGAGAAAAAAGGAAAAAAAAAAGGACTTTTAGAATCTACTTCCACCCATTTCACCTTTGCTGTGGCAGCGGTCTGCGAGGAAAGGGAGCGCTCCAGTCCAAGGGGGAACTGCGAGGGATTTTTCTTCTCACAAACTTTTTAAAGCGTTCTTTACTCACGTTATCCCTACTGCCTGTGAGGTGTGAGAGCACGGTTACACCTTTCTCCTTCTTCACCTGATTTTCTATCCTCAAAGCTTTTCCCTGGGTGAAAGCAGACTTTGTATCTGCACGTGAAATCAGCTTTTCTCCCCCGCTGTATGGGGAACCTGTTGGAGCTGTTTCTCTATAAATCTTGGGGAATAATCCCTGCGTCCTGCCTCTTTTGCTAGACCTGGGAGACGGATGAAAAACAAGCCTGCGAAACAAAAAAAAAAAAAAAAGAAGAAAAAAAAAAAGGGGGGGGGGGGGGAAAAAAGGGAAAGGTTTCTAAGCTGACATTCCCCAAGTATAAATTAAAAAAAATACATACCCCAGCACCTTCAAAAAAGGCACTGGCTGCATCTCCTGTGTTGTCCAGGAGATCATCACTGTCAATCTGTAATTAAAAAGATTTTATTTACTTTCTTTAGATATAGTACGGAAAAAAAAAAAAGATGGAAAAAAAATGAGTGCAGTTGCTGACGGGCAGCCCCTGGGAAGCGCTGAGCTCTCACCCGGGGGCAGCGGTGGGGCAGCGTCCCTCCCCGCCCCCGGCTCCTGCCGGCAGGCACCCCATTTCGGCTCAAAGTGCCCCAAAACCCCGGCTGGCCGCCCCCCACGGGCCTTTCGGGAGCTGCCGGTCCGAGAGCTGCCCGGTGCGCTTGGCTGGGGTCCTCAAAAGTCCTGAAAACTAAAAGGGTCCTGACCTCGGGGGTTTCTTTCTTTAGAAAAACTCATTGTTTATTTAAAATAAAGGAAGTTTGCGTTAAAGTTTTTGGCGAATAGAAACAAGTGGTCGCTCACCTTTTCGGATCCATGTAAAAAATCGTTCAAGGCCTGAGGATCGCTGCAAAACAACACACGAAACCGTTTAGGGATGCAACACGTGACCCGCCTCGAGTCAGGCGTGAAACGCGTGTTTCTAATTAATGCATTAACACAACTTTGAATGCTCTTAAGTGCAATAGCCAACGACGTACACGGGTTTATACTTCAGTGGCTACGCTTCGCTACAGATATAAATTAACGTGTAGGTGCTCAGAGAAGGTCAGTCTTCTCCTGGGTCGCTAACACTGCCTCACTCCCCTTCCCCTGCTAATTCTGCAAAGCCCCAGTTACCGACGGTTTCATAACCACAACAAACCCCTTTGGAAAATTCGCCTGCCTTGGCTGCCGACAGGCAGCTTGTCAAAAAAATCGTTTGGGCGACCTGCTAACGAGCATCCCCAGCCCGGTGCTGCCGGTGGCAAGCAAGGGTTGGAGTGCAGCGCGTGGATCCCTAAAAGTCGTAGTCGTTGGCAAAATACCAGGGAGATGGGATTTAGTCACACTGCAAGTGGGCCAAGTGAAACGTGGGATGCGGAGAGTCTGTTCTTTCCTCGCGTGAAGTCGTGTAAAACCTCCTCCGGCGCAGCCCTGGAGAAGCCCAGAGCCCTCCGAGCTTCACAGGAGGAAACAAAACCATACATTGGGCGGGGTTTCTGAGTTTGGGAAGTTTGCAGACCCTTTGGAGCACACCTCGGATGATTTTTGGCTCCGGGAGACCCAGCCCGGCACTGGAGAAGCTGCGGTGACCGATGGGGACACGCCTACAGACCGAGGGTGGCAGAAACCCCTTCCCACCCCTACGCCTTCCCCAAAACAGCACGAGAGACGACGAACCGCCGCGGCGCCCAGCTCACGGCGCGGTGCTACTTACCAAATTACATCTAGCAGGCACCGGCCGTCTTCATCATCCATGTCAACTGCAAAGAGCGGAGAGAGACCACGTTACCGTCAGGAGAGCAGAGGGGTTGGGAGCGGCTCCTTGCTCCCTCCAGCCCAAACACCGCGCTTTGCTTTTCCTCCCCATCCCCAGTGACGACGATGATGATGATGCCCTGCTGCTATCTGATGGTGGAGGGGCAGGGGACTGGACCAGAGGTCCCCCTGCAGACACGGGGACCGACCGAGTCCAGAGGAGGATCAACCATGGACGGGAGCACCGAGTGGTGCGAGGTCACGGCCATCGGCCCAAAAACCACCGCCCCCTCCAATATCATTCTCTGCTGGAGAAGCTGATGGTGGCAAAGCCACCCGTCTCCACCACCGTTCCTCGAGCAGCGGCTATGGGTGAGACAACCGGGAAGCCAAAAGCGTGGTCAGCCGAGCCCTGTAACTGGCAGCCGAGGGATCCGCTCGTCCCTCCACCGCTCCCCGTCCCTCCACCGGATGGATTTCACCGGCAGTTCTCCCAACCGGGGGTTAGGTTTCACTCTGAAACCCAAACCCGCCGGTTTTCGCCTTGTTTTCAGCCCGCCGAGGGGGACCGGTGACCCCGGCCGGCTGTGCCCGGTGTAGGACACGTCCCAGACCCTCAACACCGGGAGGTGGTGAGAGCCAGATCCCGGCACCCGCAGGCACGGCTTGGCGAAACTCGTATTTAAAAATCACACATTTACACATTTTTATCCCTAAACGTTCGCCATAGCCAAATGTATCGGGAGGCGTTTTGCTTCAGAAGGTGGAATTGAGGATTTTCCGCCAATAACCTGAGATCTGGCACCAGGCCACCTCCTCGCAAACCCGTTTTTAATGACCTGGAAAAGGGTGGGGGTTTGGTTTGGGTTTTTTTTTGTGTTTCCCCTCTTTTCCTCAGATCTGCTCCACAGCTGTGGTCTGGGCAGGGTTCGGAGGCGCAGCGGTATGAAACTCAGCTAGTAAAAATCAAGAAGGAGGAGAGGGGGACGGAAAAGTCGGAAAAAGAAAAAAAAAATGGGGAAACTCACTGCAGGAGAAAGATGCCTTTAATGGGCTGAAGTTCACGGTTTTGAACAATCTGCCTTCAGTCGTTGTCTGTCGGCTGTAATTATTTTCAGGACCAGCAAACGAATAATCTAAATACGCCAGCGAAAGCTCCGGGACCGCTCGACTCACTACTCCGGAGAAGACCGTAACCCGAAGAGCACGCGCCGCTTGACATGGAGAATAGAATCAGACCGTGTATTTTAATTCTTCCACTGTTCCAGGCGTTCTGCTGAGTATTTAGGACTAACGAAGCATCTACAGAAACGCGGAACGGAGATTTTCTCCGAGTTCCAGCTGAAATCTTCCCCTACCCGGCGGGCGCACGCAACGTCGCGTCTCCCCGAGGGAGCAGAGCATCGCTCGCCGGGCTCGGGACACACGCCGGCACTTCTAACCACGCACCGGGCAAACCGCCGGTAGTTCTTAAGGCTGAGAAAGCCCGGCTCAGCGCCGCAGAAATCACCCCCAAAAATGATGGTATTTACAAAGTTCTGCCCCCGTCTTTGGCTTCCTGCTACAGCCCTCGGGTAAGGGAGCCTCGGGAGGCTTTATGAATTGAGATGCTTTGCCGCTACCTGGACTTCTGCCTTGTCACTCGGCGATATTGGTTACAGACGGCTCACCGGGTTGGGAGGAGGAAATTAAAACCGCTTTTTAAAGCAATGATGTACGGCAGCCGCGCCGGGCGCACCTGCACGAAGAGCGGGGTCCCGACCCCGAACACACTCGACGGGCGCGCAGGAATTACACTCAGGCGGAGCAAGGGCACGATGCTATTAAATTAGACCGGGAATATTCTATGTTATTTTTCACAGTTACGAAGCAGCGTGGTGCTGAGGCGGGTCAGGTCCGTTATTGCTAACTAATGGACAGGAGGGAGAGCCGGGGCCTGAATCTTAAAAACAATAATTAAAAAAAGCTGTATTCAAAACCGGACGAAACCCCCAGCGGTCTGAATTCTCACCGCAAATATAAATATACGATATTGCTTAAATACATGCAGTAAACCCGCTTACTTTTACCCCCACGCGTCAGGCAAAGGGCGCTGCAGGGGAGCTGACGGCGAGCATCACCCCGGCCGTATTTGAGGGCGACGCTCGTTGCTAGAGGGAAGGAACAAGCGCGGTGTCACGAACCGCGAGCGGCATCATCACCGCAGGGCAGGGGAAGGCGCTGCAGGGAAGTTATGATGTCAGCTGATAAAGTGCGCTTGAAGTAAACAAAACAAGAAAAGAGAAATAACGGATTTGCCAAAGGATTTGTTTCACTGCTGGATTTGACGCGGCTTCCCCGTTGTTGGGGTAGAACAAAACCAAAACAGGCCGGAAACACCGAACGGGTGATTGAGCGGTGACCCGAGAGGGTCCATTTTTACCCCTTTTTAAACCACAAAATAACATCCCTGGGTCGGTCTCCCTTGAAATACCAACTCCCTCAGCCTCCAGCAGCTTTACTGCTCCCTACCCGGGCGAGAGCGGGGAGGACGTCGGCCTCCGTCAGCCTCCAGCAAGGGCTCGCGCGCTTGGCGTGCACGAGCTTTCACTTATTTCTACCTCCAAAAATACACTCGCCTATATCGCAAGGATTTAAGACTCTTTTGAGATGGGAAGCAGAGGGAAAGCGTTCTTAACGTCGCGGGTGCGACACGAGATGACGTGGTCTTCCCCCTTTTAAAACGGGAAGCAGAGGTACGAGGTCACCGGGGAACGGGAGCGTTTCACGCGCGTTAATGTAACTCCACGCCCGGGAAATCATATTTGAGGCTTTTTAAT